GCCCCCTTTGAGAATGTCCTTGCCCTCAAGGACTCATCATAGAACATCCAAACTTCGGGCACTCCTTCTTTAACCGCGCACGCATCCCATTCACGGTCCTCCTCGACTAAGAATTTACTCTTGGCATCGATAGTCGGTTGGTACGTCGCCTCCTCTTCGACCTTTAGGATTTCTAATGTAACCTCTTCATGGCCCTCCTCATCCTTGACTCCATTGGCCTCGCTCATAACCTCTTTGTTGAACGAGTGCGGTTTCTCGCACTCGACCGGCTCGACTGTAGTTTCTATCTCATACTTATCGTGCTTGACCAATACGGCCTTCGTCTCCTTCTTGGACTTGTCTTGGGCCTTGCCGCATGGTATCGACTCCTTCAAAACATTGGTCCTACTCGGCTTGTGCTCCTGGGGTCGTTGGCGTCCGTGCGGTTGCGGTGGTGGCCATCCCTTTTGGTGTTGGAGGTGGTGCGCCACCTCGTCGAACCTTTGGTTGATGGCCTCCATCAACGTCGTGCGGTGATCGGTTAGGGCGGCCTTGGTGTCGACAAGCTCTCTGGTTATGGCTTCGAACCTCGCATCAACAGATTCGCTCATGGTTTTGGATTGGCCTTCAAAGCTCTCGATTTTTTCCTTCATCTCTCGATTGGCCATGGCTTTCTTCTCTTCTCTTCGCTCTTTGCTTCGAGGACTCGTGTTTGAATTTTTTTTTTTTTTTGAACCTTCGACTAATCCCAAGAAAATTAATCGACGAAAATTTTTTTATTTTTTTTTGAATCGAACGAAAATAAAAAAAATGAGAAAGAAAAAGAATGGGGAAGAAAAAAGACACAAGATCTAATCAACTCTCAATGAAAGCACCAATGATGAAGATCACGTGTGCCGACTGCCAATAAGCCGCTTGCCCGCGCCTTGAATCGCCGATAGGTGCTTCTCGAGCCACAACCGCGCCTCTTGAAACGAATAAGATTGCAATAGATTCTTGGTGAAAAACTAGAGCAAAGTGTTTGAACAAAAGTTCAGAATTTTCTACTACTAACTAGAATTTTCTACTACTAACTAAGACTATTCAAGATTCAATTCATCATTCTCTTAAAAATAACAAGAGGGAAGAGGTCTTTATATAGGCACAAATTATATCTAGTCCTAATCTACCTAGGGAAAAAATAAAGCAATAAAATATTAAGTAACCTAAACAATCTAGATCGCATAAAGTAATAAGGAAATTAAATAACTAGGGGATCTTGTGTCTTGACTTGCACTCCAAGTAGGAAAGAATAATCAAGAGAAATTTCAGCTCAAAAGACTCCAAAAAGGCTCCTTTTCTTGCTGCCCAAGTCAGCCCCGCGCGCTGCCCCAGCTAGCACAGCGCCCGCGCGTGCGTGCTGTGATGACGGATCGTGTCTTTACTCTATTCGGTGGTTGGGTTGTGAATAAACGGCGCACTCAGGGCCTTCGTTTATCCACGATATGTGTATCTAACAGACGCACTACGGCCTTCTCCTAGATACCGTGACTTCAAGACGCTCTAATGGCCTTCTCTCCG